TGGCTGACTAGGAAATGAGATACTCCGGCCAGGCTGAGTCTTAGGGGCAGCATAGTTTTTATGTAGATGATGACTTCAAGCCATAGAATGAAAACCTGTAAATGAGATGCTGATACTCAAGTTAATGGACTTGTTACTGGCAGGGTTGGGATTTTGAGTCGTCTTTTTACACTAAAGGAGAATCATTAGATTTTGTTAAATGTGAAAGGAATACTTATTACATTTTAGCCTTTCAGACATTCCTGCAAAAATAGCAATCACTTTGAAGTGAGTTAACATTAAATAAATCAGGAGGAGATGTCTAAAAAGGACAAAGAAAGAAGAAAGTTGTCTGGTTCTGTCCCAGCATCTGCAGACCTGTCTTCCTAGTTGTGAACTGTTAGCCTCTTAAGCCAGGTGACTCTGTCACACTGGCTGGTACTCTTTCCTTGGAGCAGTTGCCTCCCTGGTGCCACGTGATGCTTACTCTGGGGTTGGACAGTAAGAGCATGAAGAGTGCATTTGGTGTCCAGCAATTGATTGACATCTCTCTAGGGTTTAGTTGAGGAGCCAGATGCAGAAATCTGTCACCTGACCCCGTAAATCCTCAGTAACTAGTGGAGGGTGGAGGTGAGGACAATGAGCAAACGTTCCTTCTCTGGGTCTCTGCCTGTGCTCATTCACTCCCACTCCGCTGGCCTATCTGTTCGGCCCCCTGAAGCTCCTGACCCCTCCTGATCTCCAGGGGGAGGCTGTGTGCCGTCGTGGCTCCAGGAGGACTTAAACGGCTGGCAGTTACACCAACAAATAAGATTGGACTCTTTTTGCCAGTTGCTTCTTAAAATTCAGAGATGTTCATGTCAGCTGTGTCACCCTTGTATTTTATCCCCTTAAAGAAGCCAAATTCTCTTGTCTAATGTGTGTCATTTCACAGACCAAGAAAGCATAACTTACTTTGCTAGTCTGGTTTTTTTCAGTATTAACTGCTCACCAGAGACCTGAGGCTAAGTTAACTATTAATAAATGTTGAGACCCTGAGATTATTTTCCCAGATACTTACTATCTCAAATTGTAGTCTTTTCACTCTGCCTACTATGGCATTGTTCCACTGTCAGGAAGGAAACCTCGCACAAACATAAATTATAAATTTTTTTCTTTCTTCCTCTGTCTTCCTCTGTTAAAGCCACACCATAGAAACTCTTCAGTTTTGTGAACTCGTTGGCTTGGTGTTTTTCACACACACTGACCGACGGCGCTTCGATTCTCTTCTTCACACTCAGGATTATACAGTTCATCCACTTGTCTGGTTGTTTCTGTCACATTGACATTAATGAGAGAAAAACTTGCCAAGTCAGTCCCCCTTACCCCTGGTGTGTGTTAATGGGTTACCTGAGATCCCGTCCTTCTGTCCAGGCACAGACATTTATCATGTACCTGCTGTACATACAGCAGCACTGTGCTGGACTCACAAGATGGAGAATCCTGCGAGACGTGCTTCCTAGTCTGTGAGCAGCTAAAGTCGTGTGGTAAGCCCTACCATGGATGCGTACCTAGAGAACACAGCAGCCTGGTCACTCAGCACCGCTCGTGTGAAGAGATGCTGCAGGTAGCTTTTGCTTAGAAGGTATCACCTACAGGACCAAGGCCTGTGACTGACTGGAGTAAAAACGTGTCTGAACCTATAATTCCAGACATCGTAGGGGTTTTTTTATCCTCTTAGGAACAGCCCTTGGAAGGCTACATGTATGCCCTAGTGATGCTACTTGATTCTAGTGGATTCTTTTTAGTATCTTTGGTGGTCATAATTCTTTAAATATTTGATTTCTGGAAACTACCCCAGTGTATAAGAAGCTACAACTTCTCTTTTGGAAATGGGCTTAGTATGAATTTTCAGTAAATAATAAATAAAGCAGATGACCAAGATCTTTTAAAAAATAAGGCATAAAATCAAGGTAAAGAGACTGCTTTCCCTGTTTGGCTTGTTAACTGGCCATTAGGAAATAATTACTTACGAAGCTCATAACGTTTGCGTTTGGGAGAGAAACTGGGTGACTGGAGGGCCTTTATCCTATTTGAAATTTGAATTGTGAATTATTACTTATTCAAAAAATTTAAATATTTTAAAAATAATAATTTTAAAAGGTCTGGAAGACCAAAATAGTAACAGTAGTTATCTCTGGAAATTAAGGATTAATTTTTATTTTTTTCTGCTGATCTGTATTTTCTAATATTTCTATAATGAATATTGTTTTATAACTTAAAAAATTATTTTACTGCTAACAAAGGAATTGCTTTAACCTGGTTATAAACAGAGCATGCTGAAATGTCTTTACCATGTACTATTCAGCAGTGCTGTTCAGACACAGAGACCCTTTCATCCTGTTTCAGAGTTAATTCAGCATTTCACTAATATCTATTTTGTGTTCACTTTTAAAACTGTGTGAGAGGTACTTGAAAAATCACTGAAATAAATTTATAGAGATTTTTCTTTAAAATCTATCTTCCAAACCAAAGGTAAACATTAAGTACAGTCCAGGAAATGCTTTTCCCTCCTGAATGGCGGATTTGCCCTTCCTTTCTGTTTCAGTGTTCTGTTTGTTAGAGGTAATATTGGTTCTGCCTTTATCTGTCGCAGAATTATCGTCAGAATAAAATAGAATGTCGTAAACTCACTTTTTAAAAGTCAAAAATGTTATGTGTGTAAAAGAACACATTATTGCTAATTTCCATGAGTTCAGCTTGCAATTTCTGTAAAGGTTTTTAAATGGTCCACTTCTCCTTATCTCCCATCGTCTGATTTTGATTGTGCTAGGAGTTGGAGAACGCTGTGCTCAGGCTTGCTGGCTGTTCTTTTGGCTGTACAAGGCAGTCTCGTTTATTTGACTTTCCCCAGTCCAATAGGCAAAGAAGAAACTTGAGTGCCAAGGCCCCTTGTTGTCATTCAAAATTACTTTCATGGCTCTGCTCTTTGGTTTTTTATTTTAATTTTTGCTTGTTTTGTTTTTGGGACCAGACAGGGGGATCTAAAGTGTATATAGAAAAATAAGCAAACCTGAACAGCCAGGAAAACTACAAAAGGGAGATCAAGCTGGGGGTGGAGCCTAAAAAACACTAATCTATTTTTCAAAAGCCTCAATAATTAAAACATGGTGATAGTGGTACATGAATTGACTCACAGACAAATCGAACAGAATTGAAAGTTCAGGAGTGGACCTTAATATGATACATAATCTCTATAAAATATACATAGGATGGCATTTTCCCCATAACTCTGACAGAAAGATGGACTGCTCGGGGATTAATATTGGGACAACTGGGAATCATCTCAAAAATTAAAGTTGGACTCATATTTCATACTGTATACCAGGATAAATTCCAAATGAATCAAGGATTTAAATGTAAAAACTGAAACCTTAAAAGTCCCAGAAGAAAATAGGGAGATTTTTCTATAGTGTCAAGTAAGGAGTGCTTTTTCTACTCTCACACAAAACCCAGCAACCATAAATGAAAAGCCTAAAGAATCTGATACATGAGAATAGAGATTCCTCCATTAAAAACAATTTGTTGAAGGAGAAATGACCAGGTAGGGAAAACATTTGCACTTCATATCGCAAAGGGCTAATCTCCTGCACCCGGAAAGAATGGCTAGAAATAGGTGAGAAAAAGACCGACATCCTAAAACATGGACAAAGAACACGAGCAGATCCTTCACAGAAAAGGAAATGGGCTCGTTCAACGTGGAGAAAGACTCTCACTTTACTGATAACGAAAGAAGAGCAGCGAAGATACTACTTTTTACCTGTCAGTTAGCAAAAACCTCAAAACTTGATGGCACCCCACTGGCCAGGAAAAACAGTTGCTCTTGCACACGTGCTGGGGTGGCTGTCCGTCAGGAGGGCCCGTGAGGGGCCACAGCCTCACCACAGCACAAGTTGACCCAGCAGCTGCTTTCCATAAATTTCTCCTCAGAAATGCATGTTACTTATTCTGCAGAGCACTGTGTATAGTCATAGCTAAAGACAGAAACCCTCAGTGACCGTGTGATGAATTGTGATGTAAGCACTCTAGAAAGACTGAAGAATTCCTCCTAAATGTGTTATTAAATAAAAAGAGCAGGAATCGTGTCCATGTGTGCCACCATTTACATAAAAAACAAGGGAAAATAGTGAATATTAGTATGTGCCTGTGTGTGCGGAAGGAAAATGTAAAAGGAGACATCGCTGTGGGGGGCGGGTAGGAGACGGCCTTTTTTCAGTTTATGACTGTTTATGTATTTTTGAACCTTGTGAACATTTTACCTATCCAAAAGAATAATTTAATAAAATCAGAGTTTTAAAAAAGATTTTAAAGAGCTAGAAAGACGAACACGTGCTGCAAGTATTTCTTCAGGATTTCACAGGAGTAGAACTGGCTCCAGCGCCTGAAATGCCGGGGTAGCGGCAGTGAGATGCGCTGCGCAGCGTCAGATGCCTCGCCCGAACGCTGGGCCGCGCCAGGTGGGGCAGGCACGGGAGGCGGCCTACCTGCCCTGCGTTGTTGCTGCAGACGGAGACTGACCGGGCCCGCTGGAGGTTCCTCTGGCAGTTTCTCTGCTCCCTTGGGGTGTTAGGCTGCGAAGGCGGCCATAACAAAGCCCCGCAGCCCGGGCCTTACACAGCAGAATCTTGTTTCCTCGCAGTTCTGGAAATTAGCAGTCCGACATCAAGGTGTTGGCAGGGTTTCTTCCGAGGCCTCTGCCTCTGCAGGTGACTGTCTTCTCCCCGTCTCCTCACACGGCCTTCTCTGTGTGTGTGTGTGTGTGCCCTGATCCCTCTTCTGATAAGGACCCCGGTCTTACTGGATTAGAGCCCCCCCAATGACCTCATTTTAACGTAATTGCCTCTTGAAAGACGGCGTCTCCAAATACAGTCACCCTTCTGAGGTGCTGGGGATTAAGACTTCACCGTACGAATTTTGGGGGACGTATTCAGCCGCTAACAAACAGTGACGGGCTCTCTGTTCTGTCCTCGCCCCCCCGTCAGGATCAGGCGATGTATGAAGCTGTGCAGCGCTCCCTAAGCCGCTGAGTCGTGCAGCAGCGGCCGCAGAGGAGCCCGGCGTGGAGCCGGCGCAGAGGCCCTGGCGCTCCGGGCGGCCCGCCCTCGGCTGGACGTGGCCGTGGGCTCCTGCACCCGCTCTCTCCTCAAGCGAACGAGGCCGGGTCGGAGCCGAAGAATCTTCTCCTCTGGCCAAGCTTCTGTGGAAACACCCCACCTCCTCTTTAAGAAAAAGAAAAATTTTTTAACTGCAAAATAAAATAAATGATACTTTTTAAAAATAAAATGGTGGTTTTGAAACAATCTCAACTGTACTGTGGAAAAGTTGCAATTACAATAAAAAAGAACGTTTTTTCCCCTTACCCATCTGAGAGTAAGTTGCCAGCCTGAATTCCCCATCACCCCCAAACACTTGAGTGTGTATTTCCTGCACACCAGCATAGTCCCTACATAACCAACCCTCAAAATCAGGAAATGAACATGGACACATTGCTACCATCTGATCCTCGGGTTCCGTTCGAGTTTCTCCACTTGTCCTGATAATGTCCGTTATAGCAAAGGCATCCAGCTTAGAACCGGCTTTTGCCGTTCATTGTGTCTCTTTAGCCTCCATAAAGTCGGGAACAGCTCCTCTGTCCTGACTTTGAACACTTGAAGGTTACAGCCAGTCACTTGGCAGAATGCCCTCAGTGTGGACTCCTCTGACGCTTCCTCGGGTTAAACTCAGGTTCTGCGTCTTTGGCAGGAATATCGTGACGTGATGTCCTGTCCTTCTCGCTGCCTTCTGTCAAGTGCTGTCAACTTCAGTTGATCCCGTTACTGATGATGTTCACTGTGATCCCTTGATGAAGGGAGTTCTGCCAAGCTTCTTAGACTACAAAGTTACTCTCTTTTTTGTAATTCATATGTGTTTTGTGGGGAGGTATTTGGAAACTATGTAAATATTCCATTCCTCATCAAACTCAGGAGTTACTATGTTTCCAGTGTGTTATCTGTTACTATTGTTATAGTATGTTCAAATTGTCCCAGATTTGGCCAGTTGGGAACCCCTCACGCTGGCCTTGGTGTACCTCTGAGAAGTCCCCAACTGATACTTTCTGAAGGGTTTAATTTGTGTCATGTTTAATCTCATTCCTCATCTACAGTGATGCTCGCAGTATATTCTGAGTCTGTATAGGTAGGTTTGGTTACCTACTTTTTTTCTCCCAAAATTTCGAGTCCATCTCACTCTACAAAAATTTTTATGCTACTTTTAAGAATGTAATTGATAAAATGGAGAAAGTATTAATAGATAAAAGCCAATCAAGTAAATAAGACACAGTCCCCTTTTTTTCGAGGAGTTCGTAAGGATACAGACATCTAAACAGTCTCCCGGAGCCCAAAAAAGGGGTGTGACAAGGAGGGTGTAGGACCCCAGAGCAGGAGGACACACACACACAAGCAAATCAGGTTCGTGTCCTAGAGATAGATGGTTAAGAACGAAGGGAAAATTAAATCAGAAGTGTGAGCCAGAAGGTCTTAAACAGTCACTAAATTTGAGTAATAGATTTGACTGCTTAACATCAGCCAAATTGAAAGAGAATCACCATCTGGTATGTTGTATACGTAGGTTATGAGAAAAAGTAAAGATTTTCTTGACAATCTTGACAAGGTTAAGTACACAACTCTCTGGTAGTTCAGCTTGGCCTAAACATGAAATGTAGAATGTGGAAGAGATCAGTCAGGCTGCCTGTCCATCAGCTTTGCAAATGAGCTGTGATACAGGTTCGACGGCAGGCAGGCAGGCATTGGGCAGAAAACTAACCAACTGACATCACAGTGGATTTTGCCAGCACTTCTCCAAGAGGAAGGAAAGAGAACATGTTCAGAGCACAGTATGTGCTAAACACCTTCATAGATGCTCTTTAATCCTCCCAACTCTTAGTAGGGAGCAGATGGTGTCCCCATTTTATCAAAAAGACTTGGTTCAGGGGCCAGCCTGGTGGCTCAATGACCAAGTTCATGTGCTCTGTTCTGGCAGCCTGTGGTTCCCCAATTTGGATCCTGGGTACGGACCTACACACCACTGATGAAGCCATGCTATGGTGGCGTCCCACATATAAAATAGGGGGAGATGGGGCACAGATGTTAGCTCAGGGCCAATCTCCCTCAGCAAAAAGAGGAGGATTGGTGGTAGATGTTAGCTCAGGGCTAATCTTCCTCAGAAAAATAAATAAGGTTCAGAGCTTGTTCAAAGTCATGCACTAATACAGAACCATCTGAATTCTAGTCTACAGCTGTCCATCTTTTCTTTCTCTTGTGAAAAAGATCCAGTCCTGTGTTCAGAAACATCTGGAATTATGTCTTCTAACACTTTGAAAAGTTCAACAATTGCGTTAAACACTTTGTGCTAAGCACTGATAACATAATGGTGAACAAACTCAGAGCTTACTGCCTAATTTGATATATGTGACAGAAACAGCTAATCGTCCCACCATATCCATTCTTTCCTTCTTCCTTTTAGTAAGAAGGGCTCTTGCTGCCAGGAGAGTGACTAAGTTCTGGCTGCTGTAATATGAACAGAAGTGATGAGAGCAGCTTCTGATCACATCCTTAAAAGGAAGCCACTTGGACTGCATAACCACCATCATGTCAGGGCAGCCTACATTGAACTCGGGCATCTTAGCCCACAGGCAAAGCCTGGGAATGTCCTCAAAAACCACAACTGGTTCAAAAATAGGAAATGCTCCTCGCCCTCTTAACTCTGCTTTTCCCTTCCCCAGGCTAGAATCTGATGAGGTGATGATGGACCAGCTCCACCCATGGAGACAGCATTCTAGGGGGTGACAGCAATAAGACCTAAGAACCCGAGGGCCCTGGGCATCTCAGACTCAATCAGCCTGGACTTCTGTGTGACCTTTATCGTGCTTAAGCCATTTATATTTCGGTCTCTGGTAAAGCAGCCAAACTAATTTCCTAATTAGCACAGTAGTCAGACGAGTAGAGAGGCAGTTACAAAACAGCGTGAGAAGGGCTCCGAAGGGCTGAGGATAGATGCCATAGGAGGAGCACAGGGGAGGGGCAGCTAGTCCATGATGGGGTCCAGGAAAGTTCTCCAGAGAAAATGATGCCTCCGCTGAGTCCAAGAGGTAAGGAGGAAATGCAGGTAGGGAATAAATGATCTGAGCAGAGAACAGAGCCCTGGAGATGGGAGCGGGGCTGGTGGCTCTGGGAACTGACCACAGGTGGCCTCTCACTTTTAGACAAGTTATTGCTGAAAACATGTCAAAGTAGTGTTTCCAGGAGGATCTTATTTCCGAAAGCTCACGTAGTTGGAAAGCACCGTGTTAACCCTGTACGTTCTAGACACAATCTTAGCCATTTACAAGCATCTCTCCATTCTCACTGCCTGAATTCAGGGACTGAATAGATTTGGAATCATTTTTGGGGATGAATCCCTCTCTATTTGAAATTGTGCTGCTTGCCTTCCAAAGGTGAGAAGCTGAATAGACTTGGGATAAAATGGTGTCGTTTATCATTCAAACTCCATCCGTAACCCCATTGCTTTAGATCTGCGAGACTTGTGCCTGTCGCTGGGATCAGCATTTGCTTTTTTATTTTCAACTTATTTTTACAAAATAAGGACCAACATAAATATTCAGTTAAATACACAGGTGTCGCAGTTGTCTGACTTCTGCTTTGGGTCCCCTGCGAAGTTTCCTGAGGACAGGAGTCCTGTCAGTCTTGCCTCTGTAAGCACCCAGACTAGTGTCTGGCATGCAGGAAGTGTTAAATAAATGCATTCTCTCTTCTTAAACAACAAGGCTGTCCAAAGGAGACTGCTGGCTGGTGCACAGCTGTTCCATGTGAGAACTTAAGGTGGTGATTCATCTGATAATAGGAATCTGACTTTGTCCTGTGAAAAATGATAAAGGGACATGTGGATAGCCTTTAACCCAGCAGTTCCACTCCTGCACATATATCCAAAGGGAGTGCATACGTATGTTCACCAGAATAGCAGCAGAATTCCTAACAGACCAACGGGGCCAGCCCCATGGCCTAGTGGTTAAGTTTGGCCCACTCCACTTCAGTGGCCCAGGTTCGGTTCCCAGGCGTGGACCTACGCCACTCATCAGAAGCCGTGCTGTGGTGGCATCCCACATACAAAATAGAGGAAGATGGGCACAGATGTTAGCTCAGGGCAAATCTTCCTCACAATAAAAAAAAAAAAAAAAGATTGGCAACAGACATTAGCTCAGGGCAAATCTTTCTCTGGAAAAAATAATAAATAAATTCGTAACAGACCAAAAATGGAAACAATCCAAATATGCATCAAGAGTAAACCGGATAAATGTGATGTTTTCATACGCCTGAGTACTGTGCAGCCGTGAGGGACTATATGCAGCCACACAGGCGAGTCTCACAAGTAGTGAAAGGAGCCAGACCCAAAATCGTCCGTGATTCTACTTATTAATATGTAAAGTTCAAAAAGGCAAAACCGACGGATGCCGTTAGAGGTCAGGTCGGTGGTTCCTATTGGAGGGTAGTGCCTGGCAGGAGCTCCAGGTGAGTGGCCTCTGGGATGTCGCCACACTCTCCTTGGTCTGGTGATGGCCACACGGGCGTGTTCTCTTGATGATGAGTCATCGTGCCACATGCTTGTCTTCTGCTCTTTTCTATAAGTATATTCACTTTAGTTAAAAAGTTAAGAAAAAACCCAAGGTGAAAAATTTTACCTATAGTTTATGATTCTTCATCTGACTTTATTCGTAATAAACATTTTGAAATTCAAAAACAAGGAGTATCAATGTTGAAAATGTGGGTTACTCAAAAGGGAAGAACCAGATGGAGCTGAGGATGCCGGAGGATGAGTTAGCACCTTCCCTCCCTCTTTTTCCCCTGAAACACCGGTGCTTTGCTCATCCTGTCCTCCCATCTGGTTAGTGGAGAGAAAATGACATAGAAGAGGTGGGCACGGGCGGGAGGGATGGAATAAAGTAGCCCGGCACTAATGCTGTTTTCTACTCTTGGGAGAATCCGGGCTTTGAAGATGTACGCAACCATCAAGGTTATCTGGAAGAACATTGCCTTCTGGAAACATTTCCAGGGAGAGCATGTCAACAGCACAATCTGGTTCCACTGCCAGGTACGCCTTGCCCGTGAGAGGAGGAGGGAAACTCAGCAAAGGTTGTTCCAAGGAACTCTTCCTTAGGCGTGGAGGTAGAAAGTCCATGCTCTCTCACAGCCAAGGACAGTCTGTCTTCCAAGACCACGGTAAGTCTCAAGGTGGAAAAAGTTAAAGCAGAATTCGTTAGCTTCCCTTCCCTCTCTATCCTAACACCTCTCTGCCTCCCGCAGTCCTTGTCACCCACGCCAGAAATCT